CCCCCTCAGTTCCTGTGCAGATCGTCGATTATTGTCTAGCGTTTTTCCCTCCCCTAGTGTTAGCTGCCTTACCGAGTCATTCCGTGTTTTCTGTTTTAGTCTCGTGTATTGTTCTGCATTTTCCACTCCCCTAGTGTTAGCTGCCTTACCAAGCCTAGTGTCTTGTTTTTCCTTGTTTTCATCATCTGGCCTTGTCTGTTTCCCCGTGTTCTGATCACTGCCTGTGTACCTGGATTATCCCTCGAGTCTCGCCCAATTGAATACTGTTCGCCCCTGCCTGGACCTTTGCCTTGTACCTGGATTATCCCTCTTACCTTGCCATCAATATACCTGTTTGCCATTGTCTGACCTATGCCTGTTTTTGACCACGTCTCTTGCGAATGAAGCCTTGCAGATGGATCCGCACGCTTCCTGTGTTTCGTCCGTTACAAGCATCCACCTCTGAAAGCAATGCAAGGCGCAAGTACTTTATTATACAGTGGGTACGGAAAGTATTCAGACCCCCTTAAATTTTTCACTCTTTGTTATATTGCAGCCATTTGCTAAAATCATTTAAGTTAATTTTTTTGCTTAATCCGTGTAAAATTTACGTTAGCTTACGAAATACATTAAACTCACCACATTACTCAAGAGAGAATAATGCATCCTGTCTAAGATACATTTTTCAGTATGTCTCTGTGAATCAGTCTCGCTCTGTACTACTCTGTCTTTGTCTTTCTCTTTATCTCTTCCTGTCGGTGTCGCTCTAGCTTGCTCTTTCTGTCCATGTCTTTCAGCAACTACAACTAGTCTTTGGTGCAACATTGGCAATACTCTCTCTGCAGTGTGTGAAAGTAAAAGAGTGAAAGCTGGTGCTGCACTGATGTCACTCAACAAGAGAATGCTGCTTAAAATGCAGCTTTCAGCCAATCACAGCAAAGCATAGTAGAGTGCTTTCAGCACTCTGGACAGGGACACCCCCACCGCAACCAAACTAACACCTACTTATATTCTGCCAAGTCCCATTTTTCCAGCACCCTTCCCCCCCACACAGCTGACTTAGAGGTCATTGCGTCCTTGGAGCCTTATTCATTGTGCGTTAGTCATCATGCATGCTAATTTAAAACTCCAAAATGAGTCATTTATGATTTTGTACACGTGCACATAGTTGCACTTGAGCGTAGAGAGAGAGATGCTCTTCTGTCCATTCATCGCGCAGATGTTTGCAGTGCTGCTTGCTTAGTGGTGAAAGTGCTAAATTTGTCGCCCGGTTAATCAGGCTAAAATCACACTGGCAGTCATGTACATGGCATCAATGGGTGCTGTTAGTACACCGCTGTGCCATGAATAATGCAAAACAAGATGTGTTTCCTGTGTAATCTGACTGCCGGGCCCCCAGAAGCCTTTAAGAGACAGAGCAGAGTGCGAGGATCTTGACCGGGAGATTAGGCCATTAGCGATTAGGCCACATAGAATGGTACTGATCCTCACATTGGAGGAGAAGTCAAACTGACTGAGATTTTACATGTCATGCTGGAGAGTGAGATTAGGTTTTCCAATAGGGAAGGGGGTTAGAATGGGTCAAGGGACTACAAATTAGTCTGGAGAGGTAAAATAGAGCACTGTGATTATAATATTGCATTTATGTTTATCTGATGTCAGATGCTCAGTCAACATGAAATGCAACCCATTTTGCTTGCATAAAGTGACTCATTGCAGAGTAACACTCATTTTAGTGTTACACACATTCAAAACCTATGATATACCCTATAAGTTATCGGCTGGTATTAGAGATTTTAATTTATTCTATTTTATTCCCTCAATTTTTACATTTAGATTGCCTTTGCTATCATCTAATACTCACTTAAAAAGTATCTTTAAAACCAAAATTCAATAACACTGTTGAACATAATTTTAAGCACATCTCAAATTGAATATGGATTTTCATTCTGCACATTATAATGCTGTGATTGACTTGTAGCATTTAAATGATTGATTTTTATTTATGTAGACAAATAATGTAGTTTTATATATTGTTCATATATCAGTTGTTAGCCGTAAAATGAAATTAACTATCGCTTAATCTGTATTGGCCAACTTGTAATAATATTGGTGCATAAATATAGGTGCACAAAACGTATATAAATTAAAACCTGATTTTGGAACACATTTGCTCCCTACAAATGGCCTTTAATATTTTCACCAAAAAGACATTTTGAGTCACAGATCAGTCTGATAACATATTTGGAAAGAAGATTAAAAATACTTTTTGGTATTTTTTTTATATATACATTATATTTTCATTTTATTCCTTTTATAGAAAAAAATGTAGGGCAAGACTTGAAATTTCATTTGAATTTCATATTGATTTTACAGCAAATATCTTTTAATAGAATCACACTTAAACACATTAAGCAAAATTAAAGTCTTATAGTAAACTATTGGGATATGTACTCTAAGTGTATATGGGCATTAGGGTTTTTCAATATTAGCAAATTGTCATGCTGGAAGTTAAGGGTGATTTACTTAAATAGTTGTAAAATGATAAAATATTTCCTTGAGCAGTAATACAATTGTCAAATTGCCGGGTTTTCTTACTGTTACTTTAATCATGCTAATATATGATTAAAGCATGATATACTGTATACTCACATCTGCACTACAGAAAGGAAGATATTCTCCTGTACAGACTGGTTTACACTGGTTTCTTCTTGGATGCTACGTCGCCACACTGCTTGCCAGTGAGGGCACACATGGGCGATCTCTCAGTTGTTTTGC